ATTTCAGTTTTATGGAGGAGGAAACTGAGTCACAGAGCGGGCAGTCCTTTGTCCAAGGACCCAGGGCTAGTGATAGCAAAGTTGACAAAGAACTCCCATGTCAAATGGAATCCCACCCCTGAACTCTTACCCTCCACTATTCCGCGTTTTACAATGATCCCTGTGACTGCAGTGGAATGAAGGACATAGAGGGGAAGGAAAGGAACCCATTAGAGGCAGGGGTTGCGGGGAGACACGCTGGTAAGGGGACCCCGATCATGAGAGTGGGGTTGAGGAGAAAGAGATGAGTGTGAGAGAGGCTTAGGAGGTGGATGGTTACGATTTGGTGTTTGATTGGATGCAAGGAGGGAGGGGGGAGGGAGGAAGAGAGAGAGAGAGAGAAAGAGAGGAGTCAAAGATAATTTCCAGATTGCTGGTTAATTAAACTCTGTGGGTACCATTTAGGAGATGATAAACGAAGCAGTAAGATCACTGTCATTAAAAAAAAAAGTCAGAATCAACTTTTTTAGAATTTTGGAAATTAACCAAGAGTGCGCTATTGAGCCTAATCCCTATGATGCTGTTCTGAAAACGCACACAACAGGGGCTATAGAATCTAATACCTTACTAGGGTGCAGTTCTGAGCATGCCCCAAAGAGGGCGTTATTGGGCCTTAAAAAAAAGATTATTCTGGATATTGTGGATCCCTTGAATTTCCATATGAATTTTAGGATCATCTTGTCAATTCCTGCAAAAGAGGTAGCTGGGATTTTGATAGAGATTGTGTTGAATCTTTAGATAAATTTGGGGTTTTGTTATCTTAAAAATATCAAGCCTTCAAATCCATCAACATGAGATGTTTTTCTATTTATTTAAATCTTTAATTTCTGTCAATAATATTTTGTAGTTTGCAGAGTGCATTGTTTGTTAAATTTTTCCTACATACAGCAAATTCTGGTTATTTGCAGTACTTATAAGTTGCTGCCAAGCCCAACCAGTATGGCTCAGTGATTGAGCATTGAACCATGAACCAACAGGTCACCAGTTCAATTCCCAGTCAGCGCACATGCCCAGGTTGCAGGCTCAATCCCCAGTAGGCATGTGCAGGAGGCAACTGATGAATGTCTCTCTCTCCCATCAATGTTTCTCTCTCTCCCTCTCCCTTCCTCTCTTTCTAAAAGAAGTAACATATTTTAGAAAAATGAAGTTGCTAAAGGTATAACTTTAAAAAAATAAAGTTCTACCAACATTGAATTAGAGAGGACAGAACTACTGCTTCTAAAGGAAATACACAGTTAAATTCTTTTTTAAAAATTTTTATTTATTGTTAATCCTCCCCCGAAGATATTCTTCCACTGATTTTATTTATTTATTTATTTATTTATGTATTTATTAGTATGATTATTATTATTTTTTAGAGAGAGAGAGTGGAAGAGAGAGGGAAAAGGAGAGAGAAACAAAGTTAAAGTTCAATTCTTGTGAACCTCTGGTCACATTTTTGTCGGTCAAAATGCTATTTGTATTAGATGTAGGTTTGTTTGCCAGAGTCCTCGTGAAATAAGCCGGTCTCAGCAGCTTTGAAAACCTGCTCTTCCACATAACCCTGTTCCTGTATAACACTTAGCAGATACTGAAAAATTCCTCCACAGCCTCCGATCTGCAGAGCCCACCTCCCCTGCAAGTTTAACAAGTTAAGGCAGGAGGCTTGGACTCTAATTCCAGCTCTCCTCATAACTAGCTGTAACTTTGGGCAAGTCACTTAGAATCTCCTCTCTCAAATTCTGAAGAAAATAAGGCGACATTCTGAGAACAGCACCTTAATAATAAGGAATTAGTTACAATGGTGCCCTCTTGTGGACATTCTGAGAACAGCACTCTAGTAGGTGAGGAGTTACAATATCGCCCTGTTGTGGACATTTTTAGAATATCACCATAGTAAAGGATTAGTTGCAACAATGCCCTTTGTTTTTCATTTTAAAATATATTTTTATGGTTAGTATTACAGATCTCTCCTATCCTCCTTCATTCCCCCCTCCTCCCAGCACCTACTTACCCCCTAAGTCTTCACTACCCTATTGCCCGTGTCTATAAGCTATGCATATAAGTGGATTAGTTGCAATAGTGCCTTCTTGTGGACATTCTGAGAACAGCATGCTAGTAAGGGATTAGTTGCACTAGTGCCCTATTGTGTGGATAAAACTATCTTCATGATTCCACCCATTCTAGAATGCAGTATTTTTTTTTTAAAGTTTGTATAGTAATTTTAAAGCCCACAGCACCACCTGGTGGTGAAAGAGAAGAGGACATGCTGAGTAAAAGGGTAGTAGATTGTCCAGCTACATCTGTATTTTGCTTATTTGAATAAATTTTCACATTTTCAAAAAATTTATTCCTAAACTGGCTACACACAAGTGCAATACCACACAGGTCGTTATGTTTAAAATCACACCCTGCATAGAATCCCTTGTGTACATAAAACTCTAATCCTGGAATAGTCATTAATTGCTATTATGCTCTGGTAAAAACAAAAACAAAAAAACCCACCCTATTTGACAAAACAATTACACAACATAATATTCTAATTATACCAAAAATTTCACTATATTAAAATAATTATTCATACATATTTGAACAAGAAAACAAATGGTAGTATTTAATTATAACTCCCCAAATAAAGTATCTGAGTCCATACTTATATTCACATAGTTGAATAAATGAATCAATGAATCAATACAGGAAAAGAGACAGCTCTTCTTTACAAAACAATTCCAATCAATCAATATAAAAGGAATAAGAGAAATAAAATACCACCATTAGATCACCACTGTAATAATTGTTACAGGCAAGATCCAGCTCTGTACACTAAAATTATACTGTATAGGCAAAATTTTGAGGAGAAACAAGATAATTTTATAGACTCGGAATATTTCCCCCATTTTGTTAATTACAAAGGGAAAGACAGTAACTTTTTAGTGGAAAAATCTAACAGACATCACTTAATAAAATGACCAAGGTTAACATGACTAGAAATAAGGCATATTGACATTATGTACTTTTTAATATGATGTATTTTTTGTTAAGGCAAACTAGATTTGAAGGAAAAAATTCTATACAACTTTTCTCTGTGATAATATTAGAAACAGCCTTTTGCTTTTCTTTTTGCATTTCTTTTTTGAGCTATGGGAAACTTATTAGATAGCAACGGTAAGACAATCAAATGTGTTTCACTTCCATAGGTATCTCCTGGAAATATGGGTTAATAAGGAAAAGAGGACCACTCTGAATATCTATTAGCATCTACACTAAACTCAAATTTCAATAAAATTAACAGAAATGTTTGAAATTCATTATATGTGTAAGGAGGTAGAAAACATGTAAGTCCCTATTTGATGAAAGGAAAGGAATTCTTTGGCATCTTGATTAAGCTATCTTGAACCAGTTTCCTTAAAAATCAAAGACAATGATAATGTCAGATTTATGTCTAAGAGTAGCAAAAAGCTGCACGCAAAAAGAAAACAACAGAGAATATATTTTCTTTTCAAATATCCATAAAACACATGTGAGCATTGATAATCTATTAGGCCAAAGAGAAAATATGAATTTCACAAGGTAGAAATACTATATTTTGTGATTACAATGCAATACAGCTAGAAATTAATAATCAAATCAGAAAAAAAGTTTCATTGTCCTGGAGATTAAAAAATTATCTGAAGTGATGCCTTGATTCAAAGGGGAAATGCCAACCAAACTCAAACCTTATGAGAGGAAACAAGTGTAAGCGAGTGTAGCCTCTATGGTAGCATCACGTAAACTAGAGAAGGTGCCCCTGTACGTAGAAAACGGACCAACATGCTGTGTCTGTGGAGAGTCGGTCACAGGGCGATGGCTCTGAGCCCACTGCCTGGAAGACGAGCATGAGCTCAGGGAAACTTCAGCCAAAGTGAGTTGGTAACTGTGAAAGGGGAAAAAAATTTTTTTCCTCTAAAAACATAAAAGGGGGGAAAAAACCGAGATTATGAGTTTTCCCCAAAATGGAAAGCAAACTTCTAGTTACTAAAGTCCTTCCGAGTAAGATTTTGAAGGCCAAGAAAAGTCTCACTTAAGGACTAAATGTTCTTTGATTGAACTTAATGTTCTCAAGGTCACTTCAGTGACTTTTCTATAACCCGCTATGGGATTTTAGGTATTTGAAATGCTTAAATTGTGCCATTTTAACAAGTTCTTCTGAAAAGTAACGATTAAAAACTTTTATATCACCTGCTGTATGTGACTCAGGGGCAAGCGTACTAAGCCTGTCTCAGAGGATGGCTGAATTTGGAGCTAAGAAAAGTCCCAATTTGTAAGTGTGCTGTCGAGAGCCATTCAAATGCTCTCTCCTTACTGCGGTAGAATAGTTTTGAATAGACTGACTCCTGACCTTTCCCTAAAATCATCACACACACAAAATAAATGCAGCACCGTGGGGGTCTGTTTTGTAAGGATGGCGTTCTCTGTGGTGGCATCTCTCCTTGAGCGGAAGCTGTGAGGGCTCCAGGGGCTCCAAAGGCATGGGGGGCTCTCACCAGGCAGGACTCTCTCAGCCATGCACGCAGGTGGTAGGGAAACACACTGCGGTTAAGGTGGTGGTTGTGGGTGGTGGAAATGAGGTAGGAGAGTCACTAAATGCAGTTAGAATGAGATGAATAAAATCCTAGAGATCTCTCTGGAGTGAGGAGTAGGATTAGCTCAAGGGTGGTTCTGATACATGAGTCACTGGGCAGGGGGTTAAGAACTTCAATTGTGACACAAAGGAAACAGAAGCTGGGGATAGGCCACGATGGTGCAGTGACAGAATAAAGACCTGGTTGCCAGGGTCAGGGAATAAATGCCGGAAGCCGGGAGGAGGAGAGATGGGGCCCTGGGTCCTTTCCAGTCCCCTTTCCCACCCACCCTCCCCCTTAGGTTGTCTGCGATGTCACCTTCCACCTAAACATCATCTACCGGGTTTCAGACTTTAACTCTGGTCTCTGGCTTCTGCTTAGTTCCATATTCTCTTACCATTTGTTTAGAGGACCATCACCTTCCTGGAATCTCTAAGGGTTTCTTCTTGCCTCGTGCCCCGCTCACCAGCCCTACTGACTCAGCTGCGATGGAAGGGCCCAGCCCCTGCAGAACTCCTAAACCTTCTCCCAAACCCAATCGAGACGCGTTGGGCCCTAAGACTGTCATTGCCTTACTTGAAATAGAATCACTTCCCCCTGTCTCCTGCACGTCTCACTTTTCCTTAAGTCATAGTTGCCAGCGAGAGACTAAACAACAGGCTACAAAGAAGTGTGAAAAGTTATTAAAAGAAATTAAAGAGACTCTTCAAAACATGAAATGTCATGAAAAGAAGATGGCAGAAACGAAAGAATCTTCTGAGGAAACTGATATTGCTGAGGAACTGTCAGAACTGAAAGAAAAAGTCAGAGAACTCGATAAAATAAATAAAGTGCTATTGAAAAGGCTGCTTTTCAGAGAACAGAGTGCGAAGAAACAGGTGATGATGCTGGAAAACCAGAGCTCGGACGACAGTGTACAAGGTTTGGCAAGGGACGCGGTAAATCCTTCAGAAGAAGGAAGAGCCGTTCATAAAACTCCACTAAGTAAGGAAAAGGCAGAGTCTGGACCCCATCATGTGCAAGAAGAAAATACCAAACTTAAGAAGAACATGGAGCAGTTACTGCAGGGAGCGGAACTCTGGAGTGTGCAACACGCGGAGCTGAGTGAACTGATGAAGTTGTACCAGAAATCTCAGCACAACTTAAGAGCAACTGGTGAAAGTTACGGAATCCGTTTCCAAACCCCACCGCACAGCGTGTTCGCTAACTATGAGCTGGAGGCCCAGATGAGGAAACTGCACCACAACACGCATTCACTGCACGTGATCACAGCTTTGCTGGAGAACGAATGCCAAATCCTGCGGCACCGAGTGGAACTCCTCCGGGAGCTCCACCGCCAGAAAGACGCAGCTCTGCACCAGAAGCCGGTCCGGGTAAACTGTGAGCAGGACAGGAAGGCAGGAAGGTACAAGCAGAATATGCAAGGCACGGAAGTTACATTTCAGATCAGAGACAGATATTATAAAAACCTGGACTCTTGTCGGAATAAGAAAGCTCGTAACAACAGGTTCAATCGTTGTCTTGCAAAAGCCCTTCAGAGACAAAAGAGGCCCGTCAGCAGACGAAGGTAGAAACCACCAGAAGCAGAAGGAAAGGCAATTCTTAAAAAAACTCTAAGGCATCCAACTCCAGGCACCATCAATCACCAAACCCAGGGTAGATCTGCTGGTTCAACCACGAAAAAGCTATGGAACAAGAAGACTAACACAATATTTATTACGTCAGTAGTTACATAAGTTTGGTCTTTCATGACCATTAGTGTCAACATCAAGTTCCTAACTTGTCATCGTTACAACCAGCCTGTCTTTGTTGTTATTAGATAGAGACCCTATGACACCTTAACCAAAGTAAAAATCTGAATAAAAACCAGAACAAACAAAGAAAAGGTTTTTTTTCTTCCTTATTAATCATTACCTGGGGTGAGGGTAGGGTTCTGGGGGAAAAACTTTGTAACACTTTAATAATGAATTTTTAAAGCCCACTTTGTAAATGCATTTCCCTTTTTCCTATTATCCATTGAAGTGTGGGCAGTACTGGAGTTAAAAATAATGCTGACAAAACACCCCTACAGTTTTTCTCTTATAAATTTCTCCATCCCCTGAATCTACTTTCCCCCAATATTCCTCTCAACTAGTGAAGGCAGACAGACCAGGCAGAAGAGGGCCTGGGGAAGGACACAGGGCTTGTTTAGAATAGATGTATATCTAGATTTTGCTCTGCAGAGAAGCTCCCTCCATGCCTTCAGGTGGTGCCATAGGATTAGCCGAGGCAGAAAGCAGTGTCTTCTGTGACGGGAGCTGGACTTCTGGTTCCAGAAACTATGGAGCAGATGCATTTCTCTCTATTCCTCCCATCAAGCAAGCGAAAACCCCTGCACATGTGTATATAATGGACACAAGACTCTGAAAGATGGAGAGAAGGCGAGAGACTTTCCAGTGACCCTGGATTTAAGGAACAGCATGGTGTTGAGTTCCCTCGGTTTTCTTTTTGTCTCTTTTATATCCCGAACTGAGTGCTTGAGGAGCCCACAACCCAGAAATGCCAATTCATTTAGACAAAATATCCCATCCCCCCTAAAGCCTGCTTTCTCTTGCCAATGGATGAGGAAAGGAACAGCATGGCCAGACAAATCTTCGAACAAAAGCTGTCCTGCTCTACCTAAACTGCAAGGAAAATGCCATGCCTCCATCCTCACCTCCATTATCAAACTAGAGGCCCAGTTCACAAAAATTTGTGCACTCGGGGGGGTGGGGGGGGGTTCCTCAGCCCGGCCTGTGCCCTCTCACAGGCTGGGACCCCTCGGGAGATAACGCCCTGCTGGCTTAGGCCTACTCCCGGGTGGCAGAGGGCAGGCCCAATCCCTAGGTGCAGCCCCTGGTCGGGCTCAGAGCAGGGCTGATTGGGGCGTCAGGGCGCCGCCCCCTGTCATGCACAGAGCAGGGCCCATCAGGGGGGTTGGGGCTCCCTACCCTGTCACGCACAGAGCAGGACTGATCAGGGGGTTGGGGCACCTTCCCCTGTCAGGAACAGAGCAGGGCCGATAGGGAGGTTGTGGCCCCGCCCCCTGTCACACACAGAGCCGCAGGGCGATCAGGGGGTTTGGGCGCTGCCCCCTGTCACGTTGATCCCAGTGCCGGGAGGCCTCTCGGCTCTGCTGATCCCGGTGCTGGGAGGCATATTACCCTTTTACTATATAGGATAGAGGCTTGGGGCCCGGGTGGGGGCCGGCTGGTTTGCCCTGAAGGGGGTCCTGGATCAGGGTGGGGGTCCCCACTGGGGTGCCTGGCCAGTCTGGGTGAGGGACTGAGGGCTGTTTTCAGGCTGGCAGGTAACTGAAGCTCCCAAATGCTCCATTTTTTTTTTTTTTATTCTGGGCCAGCTTTAGCTCTGAGGCCTTGGCTGCTAAAAGCAGGTATCTGGTTTGTTTGGGTTCTATAATCGAAACACTGTTTCAACTCCAGCTCTGAGATCCTGGCTGGCTGGAAGCAGGTTTCTGGAGTTTATTTAGCTTCTGTATTTGTAACAATATTTCAAACTGCAAGCTCAGAGGCCGGCAGCGGCAGGCGGGGAACGTTGGCTTCCTCCGTCACTGAAGCAAGCAAGCCTCATGTTAGTTTCAAGCTGCCTTGCTGCCGGCCGCCATCTTGGCTGGCAGTTAATTTGCATATCACCCTGATTAGCCAACGGGAAGGGTAGTGGAGGTATGGCTAATTACCATGTTTCTCTTTTATTAGATGGGATATTTAGTGGTGAGCCTAGATTTTCACCATCACCTGGAGGTAATGAAGCACTCCTCCCCTTTCTTCTGGGGTAGTGCAGAGGAGACACAGGGGTGGGGAGTGGGGGGGGGGAGGGGCTCTGAAGTTCTACCAAAAATTGATGGTAACAAAGTACTCCTCCCCAACCCCCGTCACCCAGTAGGGTGTAATGTCAGTGGAGACCACATGGGTAGCCTAGGTTTCTATGTCCCTCCCCTGCTGACACAGCACCAGCAGAAGCCTGATAACACAGAAGATTTAAATAAGATGCAGGGTCTCATAACATAATGCCCAGATGTCTAGGATACACAGACAAAAATTACAATCGTACTAATAATATCTCAACTCGAATGAGAAAAGACAGCAGATGCCAACAACGGCATGACACAGATGTTGGAATTATATGACAAGGATTTTAAAGCAGTCGGAAAAACTGGCTCTCCAAATTTCATAAACGGCATAACGCTACAGATTCAAGAAACTGAGTGAACTTTAAAAAGTATAAATTCAAAGAAGTTCAAGGCACTCATGATCAAATTTCTGAAACCTACAAAGTAAAATTCTTGAAAGCAGAAAAGACTCATTAGATGTAAAGGAACAATGACCCAAATACCACAAATTTCTCATCAGAAATCATGGAGGCCAGAGGGAAATGAACATTTTTCAAGAACTGAAAATAATGTCAACCCAGAATTTGTTTACCCAGTGAAAATACCTTTTAGGAATGAGGGTGAGATCAATATAGTCTCAGATAGAAGAAAACTGAGAGAATGTGTCACTATGTATTTTTTGGGAGAGCCCATTTGGTTACATAACTAATGTTCATTTTTTCCCCCCCTTCAAAAAAATGAGTGATCCCTTTTGCCTCAGAATTTGTCCTATTACGTTTCCAAGTAAGAGTTTCAAATAGGAGGTGCATAAATGAATGAAATGAGCAAAATTGCTGAACAAAGCAGTCACTTCTTGTAGTCTAGCTTGTTGGTAGGCATTGCCTGAACGAATTCTGTCAGTGTCATGTATCTGTCCAGTGTTAAAGGGTTATATCTCCAATTCCTAAACTGTGCACTGAGTCTGCCTGGGTACCACAATAAACTCACAAGGGAACTGCAGAATTTTTAAAATTTTTTAGAGAAGCACAGCAAATTGCAACACTTATTGCACACAACCCAAACTCAAAGTAATCACAGTTTTTGGGGGGTTTTTTGTTTTTTTAAATTTCTTTTTTTTTTTAAATATATTTTATTGATTTCTTACAGAGAGGAAAGGAGAGAGATAGAGTTAGAAACATCGATGAGAGAGAAACATCGATCAGCTGCCTCCTGCACATTCCCCACTGGGGAAGTGCCTGCAACCCAGGTACATGCCTTTGACTGGAATTGAACCCGGGACCCTTCAGTCCGCAGGCCTACGCTCTATCCACTGAGCCAAACCGGCTTTGGCGGTAGTCACAGTTTTGACGTGAATTAGATTGTACACAGCACCATATCCAGAAGTGAAATCTCCAATGTTAGGAACTCAGTCACAGGTCACATCTATTTGAAAGTAATTGGGAAATAAGGTTTTTAGGTTGGCAACCATGTTGCTCACAAGGAGACAGAACTGATTTTGGAACACTTAGCCTTTTATATAGAGAGATTATTTTTAACCTTCACCCAAGGATATGTTTCTATTTTAGAGAGAAAGGGAGAAGGGGAGAGAGGGGGAAACATCTATGTGAGAGTGAGACATCTATTGGTTGTCTCCCACTTACACTTGTGTCCCAACAGGGGATTGAACCTGCAACCTGAGTATGTATCCTGACCAGGAATCAAACCAGTGAACTTTTGGTGTACAGGACGATGCTCCAACTAACTGAGCCACACCAGCCAGGGCACACACTTATTATTATGTAAGTGAAGGGAACCAAAGTTTTGCCATCCTGAAGCTCCTTTTGGGATATTTATTTTTAAGCTATTAAGAAACAAGACTCAGAAAGAAATGAACATTTTTCAAGAACTGAAAATAATGTCAATGCAGAATTGTTTACCCAATGAAAACAATTCTCCCCCTTCCGGCCTAATAGATTCAGAAGAGAAACATGCTTCAGAAAGATCATCTTAGGATGCCACCTTAGCCTAATTTGAATTAAGAATCTATATCTATAAAAGGCTAAGTGACCATCCAACCATCTGACCAGCTGGTACCTGTGATGCGCACTAACCACCAGGGGGCAGATGCTCAACACAGGAGTTGCCAAGCTGTGGTGACTTGGCAGCGGTGGTTCTCGGGTGATGCACTCCGGAACCAGAGAGGAGGGAGTGCGGCCCGGCTTCCTTTCAATGTGCACAAATCTGTGCGCCGAATGGTAAATAAGAGGGCTTCCGGCAGGTGGGTGCCTATTAACTAGATACTCACTGTGTCCCACTGTTTCTGAGTTGTCTAGCAAGAATTTTCCTGCCTGTAATTGCCCATTCTCACTTCTGAAATCTAATATTCCATTCTCTCCCCTTCTCCTCTGTCCAAAAATTCTCTTATATATATATACCCAATGTTGCCTTACTGTCTTTGGAATTTTTATGCCTCTGTGAATTCCCATGCACACTCTTCAAAATGATTTTCTCCTTTTAATCTGTTCATTTGATTATTTTCCCAGCATAGAAGAATTTAGAAGATGGGAGGAAAATATTAACATTTTTATCCCCCACATAAATAATAATAATGTCTCTTATATAAAACTCTCATTATGCAGTCAGGACAAAGATGAATATTAAAATCCCAATAAAGATGGGTATAATCCCCACCACAGGTTCTATTATGAATGAAGCACAGGTATA